ATTTGAATGTGACTGCCATTCATCGACAGTTTAGGCCAACTAAGTGCAACTATGCCAGGTGGCTGGGTGTTGCTGGGTCGATGGGTTGCTGGGTTGCTGAGGGGTTTCAGGTTGGTGCAGTGGTTGGCTTGGTTTTTGCTTCGTGGACTAATGTCTTTTGAGCTATGTTTGGATAATGTTGGCTAAGGCGCTAGTAACAGAGAGAGGGCGAGAGAGAAAGAGAGAGAGAGAGGGAAAGAGAGAAGGGAACAAAGCAAATAGGTGTGTTTACAATCGGGTATAGCCGACTGCGGAAATACTCGTTCACAATTTAAGATAATATATACATATATAATTTCTCCAAATTACGAAGTTGTGAAATTTCATATATAGTCTTCTGTTAGGATTATATTTTATATAAACTCTCTACTATAAATTCCATATAAAACCAATGTACCAATGTATCCTAAAGCAGTAGCACTATCATGAACGAGCATTGTCTAAAACAGGGTATTAAAACAACAACAACTCACCCTCACCCCCTGCTCCTCCTGAGCGTATTTCTTGATTTCACGCTCCAAATCAAGCTGTTGTTGTTGTTGTGGGCCCAGAGAAAATTGAGAAATTGAGAAATATTTGTGTTTTGTAGTTCAGATGTCGGTTCGCTCCAGAGGGCGAATGTATGCCAGAGACAAAGTGGCGCCAGTTGAATGTCCATAAATGTTGTTAATATCAAATTCACACACACGCACACGCACACAGACAGAGAGAGAGAGGGGAATAGCTAAAATATGCGTGCGCTTAAGTTATGTAAGGTTCCTGGCAAATGGAATAACTTGAGCGCAAGGCTTGGAACTAGCTGTGCAAATGCTCGTAACTATGTATGAGCTGATTTTACAGCTGAGTTGAGCATGGGTTTAAGGGCTTTAGATAATACTTTAAGGTATTGCGCAGATCAGGAATGTTTTGGCCATAAGGGATGTAAGAGCTTTAGTTATAATATGAAGGGAGAGTTGTAAATGTTATTCGATTTAGCAATTGCTAGAAATAGTTTTACGGCATAGTAAAGCGGCTTATATACAATGGCATGAATAATTGTCTTGACGGGGAAATAAAATCTGGATATATTTGAAGACATAGACTTCTTGTTCATATAGCTATTTCAATTTATTGAAAAGAGTTTAGCGAATACTGCTTTTAGAATAACCGAAGATTGTATATAGTAATATAAGAGAGATGTATGAAACATATTTAGATGAAATACAGTTATCTATGAAATGTATAATCCATGCGAGAGATTTTTATATTCCAATTTTATACTTCTGGAAGGACTCTTTTAGATCTCCAAAATCTTTTGACAAATATAGTATTCAGTTTTACAATTTAACATCAAATTAAGGGAAAAACTGCATTGAGAATAGAAACGTTTTCCCTGTATGTGAACATATAGATATTTTTATATATAGAAAATCTTTGTCCAATACTTTTTACCTAGCCTTCTTTAAGCCACCTCCTTAAAATCAATTTGCTTATTCTTTGGATATGCAATGCAAAGTTTGTCGTTTGCTTATCCCCCTTTACTTGGCTCACTTTTTGTTTACCAAGTATTCGCAACACTTGATGCATATTCAAACAGCGTATTAAAGTTGTGACAGCCTTGGCTAAGAGTTGGGCATCAAAGTTTCTGTACTAGATAAGAACTATTAATTAAAGTTGACATAGGCCTCACGTTTTTTGTGCTAGGCTGAAAAGACTGAACATGTGCGTATAGCAAATGCAATCGGAATCGAAACAACAGCAACAGCAACAGCAACACGAGCAACATCAAAAGCAAAAACTGACCTCGACCCAGCTAACGGCGCTGATTGCTCGCTTTTGCCGCTGTTGCACGCGTCGTATACGCAACGTCAACTTTTTTAATTGCTCGCCCACTCGTTCGACATCAAAATATAAAAAAAAATGGAGGAAATTCCCACAAACCTAGTACTTTTTTTCCTAGTTTTTTGTTGTTGTTTGACTGTTGGCCATGTGCAATCGAAATAATCTGTTTATCTTTAACACCGTTTTTAGCTAGATTCAACAAATCGTATAGAATCGTGAGAGAGTATAGGGTATATAGATGGATATGAAATAAGTAATTCTATATTATATCAAATGTCTATAACTAATGTTTACCAATAATAATTATATATCATAGATTTCCATTCAATATCGATAACTAAATATTGTCTAAAAGAGAGCTTAAAAATGATTAATGCTTCTTAAGAACTTTATCATCCCCTAATTCGAAGTATTCAAATATATATTGTTGAAGACCCATTTCGAGTACCTTCTTTCGTCGATACATTCTCCGATAAATATCGGTATCATCAAAATGCAGTTTTTGCTATATATGCCAGTAGTAGTAGGATAACTTCTAGTCAAGCACTCTCAACTAGTGCATCCAGTATTTTTCCTGCTGTCCGCTATTTGTTGTCATTGTTGTACTGAACTGAAGGATTTTTAATTACAACTGTCTCTGCCTATTTCGCTCGCTTTTGGTGTTATGGAAAAAAAGGGAAAATACCAAAACCGGAGACAAATTCATTTCTAGCAACGTCAAATGGCGCCCCAAGGCGTGGCGGACTTTCAATAGCTGTTCGTTATTGTATTTTATTTTCGCAAAAAGAAAATATATGTATATAGAGATGGATAGATAGATGTATATATAGAGTATATATACAATTCAAACAGTTTGAATGCGAGCATTGAAGCTTCCAGTTGATGCGTGAATAAAATGCGAATAAATTGCCAAGTGGGCAGCTAGCCAAGAGCGATGGAAATGGTTCGAATGTGGAGCTGACTTAAATAAGTAGCATATCATATAGCATCAAGGTTATATATGTATATATATATATATATGTGTATATATACTTGTATATGTGCGCGCGCTGGGCAGGCTTTTTATACGGTCCGACGCTTTTGTTGACATGCCCTGGACTACGGCTAGCCTTTATATATGAACTAGGACGAGCAGTCCGAAGTGAGGGGAGAGAGGCGGTGAGAGAGTGTCTGTCTTTTAATACATGGCATTATGTATACGCATGTTATCTGTGGCCTGGCATGCGAGTAATTATAGAGTGTGTGTGCATCTGTGTGTGTGTGTGTGTGTGCGTGTATAATAAGCAGCTGGCCCGTTTGGTACGGCCTTGGGGACAGATGAGTCAGAAATTGTTGTCAAACTGGTTAGGGCAAATTTTCAGTTAGATTTCCCATGAGAGGCACGACACATCTATCCCACAGTGGGGGCCAGACAACTAGCTCCCCCAGCTTGCACAGTTTGAGCTCCTTTTTTTTTTATGCATACCCTATGTATCGCATTTTATGGAGTGTATATAAATCACGCGGTATGGACTCTTGCATGGCTTGCGTGCAGTAAAACGATGCACTTAAATGATTTAGAGGCGTATTCCAACAGTTTGAGTTATTTTAATGTTCTCTACTTTAAATAGAATGTGAGTATATGTGTATAAAGTCATCAGTAGATATACCCTACTTCTATACCCTGTATAGGATAGAAATTTTACTAAATGACTAATTATACAAATGTGTGGGTAATAAAGGGTAGAGTTAATTAAATTGAAGAAAAATATATATTATTACTATCCCGTAGAGGTTAGTGAGAGAGGTCTTATGGTTTTATCATTATAAACTTTACTGAATTAATATAATAGAAGACTTATCATTGCGTATAAGCAAGATATTTACGATTTTCACAAATATACAGAGCATCAAAAAGTCGAGCACTTTTTGTCAGCTTGCTTTTAGGGTGTCAATAAGTATGAAATATGATGCAAATCGAATGCACTTTGCTTGTTGCATAACTGTGCTAGCAATAAAGTGCCATAAAAACAGGGTCAATACGGGTGGGGGGTAAATGGCAGAAATAGAGAAACTTATGGGCGACATAATACCGGGGGTATTGTCAAAAACAATGGCAACTGTCTGTGAGATGTACGAAAATTGTATGCAACAAATTGAATTTTATTGCTTGCCCCACATTAAGTTGGGAAAGATACAGAGAGTGTGTGAGAGAGAGAGAGAGACAGGGAATGGGAAAGGAAGAAAAGGAAAGGGCATAATCAGATACAAAAGACATTGCAACTGATGAAATGACTAACAATAAGTGAGTGTAAATGTGTGTGTGTGTGTGTGTTTGTGAGTGTATTAAAGAACATTTATAGCTGACTCATTTGCAATACGAAGAGTGTTTTATCTCTTTGGCATGGGAACAAAATGAAAAACGTTTCAAATTAATTAAACAACAACAAGAAACTAGCTAGCAAAAAACATGTCAAAACGTTAGAGGGAGACAGAGAGTAGAGATAGAGCGAATATATGTATGTGTGTGTATGTATTGGTGTGTGTGTGTGTGTGTGTTCATAAAAAACTCGTAAACAAAACACTACAAACAAACTGCAATGCTAAGAGTTTTAATATTTAAGATTTAAGTTCATGTTAAACTTGTTTTAACTGGCAGTTAAGTTCAAAAGCAAAAAAAACGAAGCAAAAATTTGTTTTTTCTTTTGTTTTTTTTTTTTTTTTAGATCAATGCTAGGCACTACATTATATATGCGTGTGTATTTGTGTGTGGGTGTGTTTAGTATTATTTTGGTATTTTTTGTATTTAGTATATGTAACAGTTAAACGAAAGTAAAAGCAATTGCAGTCGCAAAAGTTAGGAAAAAATTAAAAATAAAGGAAAAGTTCTATAAAGAAATAGGTATTTTTTGTATATTCTTTTGTTGTTGTGGTATTTAACGTTGGTATATTTCTTTGTTTTTTTTTTCGAAATCATTGTCACTAGAGCATTTTGTTTGCCGCAAAACGAAAGTTAGAGTTGTTTCTTTTTCCTTCTTTTCTTTTTTGTGTTTTTGAGTTAGGCCTGGTATGTTTTTTTTTTCTTTTAGGCTGACTCAAGATAAGTGTGTGTGGGGTTTTTGTGGTTGGGGAATAGAGAGGGGTCTTGTCAGAGGACTTACCTGTTTTTGTGCCATCGCCTGCATTTGCTGAAACATTTGTCGTTCCTCCTCTTTGCCTGCATACGAATGCATATACCCTCAATTAGAGAGAGAGAGAGCGTGGGTGAGAGGCTTAGACTTACCCATGCCTTTGGCTTGCAGCATTTCCAATAACTTTTTGATACTCTCATCGCGTGCGATCAGCGTCTGCTTCTGTGTCTCCACTCGGCACTCAAGATCCTTGATGGTCTCCCTCAAGATGCTAATCTCACGCTGCAGATGATCATTCTCAGCATAGATAGCCTCCATTTGCTGCTGCATCTCCAGATTGGGCTGACGCATGCGCAGGCGCAACTCCTCCTCCAGCTGGCGCACGAGCATCGCTTGTTTCTACATGTAAGGGGAGTTCGTTATAGTTGGTGTTTACTGATTGGCTGCCTGTTGTGCGGTTTGTCTCACCTGATTCTCTGTGCTAAGCAGCTTTAGCTGATCATTGATCATACTGTACTTGGCGCTCTCCTCTTTGCGCAACGCTCGCTCTTTCTTCAACTCTGGCGACCAAAATGTTTTGATGCTGTGCATCGAGCTGCCCAACTTTTGATTCGTCAACTCCAGCTCTCGTTTCAAATTCCCCAGCTCACGCTGCAAGTCCGTGTTCTGATGCTGCAAATCACCTAAATAGGCGCGATCCGATGTTGGCATGCCCGTATTATAGCCTAATTGATGATTCAGGGAAGAGGGGCGTTGATTAGTTGAGAGAATATTTTACAATTAAAGGCAATGTTTTGATTAATATATTTATTATTATGTCTTTTCCATTAAAATATTTATTATTCATTAGTATATCTTTTAGTATTTTTGTTAAATTGGACTTGTAAATTAATTTTTTATTTTTATATTTTACAGATTTTCATAGGACTATAACTGGTAAGCTCTTTTTCGATTTCTATTTAATTTTAGTATTTTTTCCATTTACAATTAACTTTAGATAAGCATTCTTTCATCTCCCAATTTTGCTCATCTCTCAAACTTAAAATATATAACTCATAAGTTTAGATTTACTTACCTCCTAGCGCACTGGGACTTTGTCGCGCCGAACGGCCATAGAGTTCATCCTCCAGGTACAGGCCCCTTTCCAGGGATCTGTCCCTGGAGCGATCACGTGGCTCTCGTATGGGTATGAATTCACGATCATGCGGATCCACAAGTCCGCCACGATCGAGCGACTGATAGCGGGTTCCTAAGGTTAATGATAGATACAGAATTAATAGAGGCGATAGTTAGAGAGCATTTGATGATGGTTTGCTGCACGGCTTTGGGTTATTACTTGGATAGTCCATGGCATGTGACATCGGTGGTCTGCTGGCGCTACGGCTGCGATGATGTCCCGCTCCGGCGGGACTTGTTGGCTCATCCATGTCGCGGTAGTATGGACTGCCCATTGCTGAAATTCACATAGAATTCATGACGATGATCAAATGAGGATGAGGTTTTGGGTACGTTTTCGTTTTGTTTCTCTTTTCATTGGTTGTTTGAATGTGAGTAGAAACGATAATCGAAATCATAAATGAACTGGTTCACATGTTCAACCAAAGAGCTTGGACTAGTTTTTGGTTTATTCATTTTGGGTGAAATCTAGTGCAGTGGAAAATTTCTGTTGTTGATTTTTTTTGTTTTTTTTTTGCACTAAATCTAACATTTGTGTCGCTCATACTGAATTAAGCAGTTACTAAAGATGTAGAAAAATTACGGGTTAGTAGTAATGGAACGCAAGAAATATGAAATGGACAAAACTGCAACCAAAAATTTGTTTTTGTCGTGTTGCGCACGGCGCGTGGCTAAGCTCCTCCCCCACTTGCCATATAAAATGGCTCATAAAGCAGCTACTTTGTGGACTATTCTCCTGCGTTTCTCTTGCCAAGTTTTACCCCACCTTCGCTAGCCTTAGCCATGCTGTGTGATTTGTGCAGCGCATAAACTAAACTTTTTCGCCAACCACACGAGCTGCACAGTCTGCACGTAAGCAAGCCAGGCTAAGCCACACGAAAACTTAATTTGTGGCTCTTTTGTTGCTGCTGTGATGTGTCCTTGCGCTTGAGTGTTGGCGTTTATGCTTTTTAGCTATTTAACAGCTAACTATTTAGCAAATATTCATATAGACGGAAGCTTTAACTGACATAGTTTTAAGCTGAAACTAAACACTCACTGTTGGATTTTTTAGCATGGATGCTTTGAAGATTTCTTTGACTTTCGAACTATTAGCCGTTTTATAGCCAGTCCGTAAAATTCTTTAGCCTAGCTCAAGTCAAGTTTGGTTTGGTTTCGGTTATATAATTTTAGCTATTTTCCAAATATTAAAGCTCATCAATTCCTTATCAAATACTAGTATAAATATGAATTATTGACCCTAACTAATGAAGAATTATTTTTGAGCGCAACCTTATGCCTGGCTAAAAATTGTCTTTTCCATATTCGCACATATATTTCTCTAATTTATTGAAGTAATTCCCCTATTCTCTATAGCTATAATTCAGAGCTGTAAAATATTTGCCAGCTCTATAGTTTGACATTATTAGGTCATAAATTCTAAAAAAAAAATGAAAACTATTTGTAGTGAGTTGCTCACAGCTCGAGTTGCAAAGGGCAATAATGGCCATCAGTTTAAGCCAAGTTAAAGCGCTAATTAGCAACTTTTATATTATTATTTAAGCATGTGTGAAAAATGATGGTCAATTAAGCACTTTTCTATTAAATAAAGTGTCTAAAAACTATAGAAAAAAACTTTGCTTGTTGAAAAGTTCGAGAGCGATGGGGCGGATGTTTACAAAGTGATTGTTGAGCTGACCATAAATTGCAGCTAGTTGGATAACTTTTACTATGTTGCCAACAATTTTTCTTATGCTCGCTCAACGAGAGCGAGAGGAGAGTCTGCCTGAAGCTGGGCACCTGTAATATGTTATATGTACATATATAGCTATGCAAAGACTTTACGTGGTAGATGGATTTATGCTATATCCTTTATAGTATACGCTGTATAAGCTGTAGAGTTCTTGAGCAGCAGAGATTTAGAAATATGATATATATATATATATATGATATGATATATACATATAGTCGTCTTTATCTTTTACTATCTGGAACTAAGTTCTGTTGTTGTGCCTTAGATTTGCTTGCCTAACTGTTCTTTGTTCTATATCTTTCAGTAAGACTGCTGTTTAGACAGGGATATATATAACATGGAGCTCTCGATATTTGTATAAATATTGATCTTCCTTGGATCATGAACGAGTATTATACAGTCGGTTCCTAACCCAACCTCCTAGCCTTTCCTTTTTATTACATTTATGTAAATTCGGATGACGAGAGCAAGCAAATGCTATAAACTGTTTGCTAGCTAAACATAACTCCAACTTAGTTTGTGAGACTTTATGAGTTTTCATGTTGGAAATGTGAGCATGTGGTGGCACATAAAGTGAATTTGCTTGCTAACCATAATTGTAATCCAGTTTGAGGCTTTGATTTAGTGTAACACTTCAGCAGGAATTAAAAATTTGATTTGTGGCTGATGCTGATGCTGATGCGGGCAACTCGGTGCTCGGTGCGAGGCAGAAGAGTGTTGGGGCAGTTAATGCCAACTGTTGGCCATGTTGTTGTTTTTTGTTTCTCTCTAGAGTTGCCAGGTCAATGTAATTTACAAGACGACTGAAGCAGCTGCTCGAGATTATTTAATTTAAATGAAAAACAATTGAGTTTTTGCAAAGTTCAGTATGCAAATGCGTTTACATTTAATGCAATTCCATTTCAATTCATCGAGTGTGCGTGTTTGTGTGTGTGTGTGTGTGTATCAGACGTGTGTTTATGTATTTGTTGGTTGTTAAGGTTAAAGAAATAAGTAAAAATGTTTTACAGAATTTCAATTTGTTGTTTTGCAGATGCGTTAAGCGAAAACGTAAAATCAAAATGTAACATGCGCATGCGTGTGATGTTAACGACAGAAATTATAGATTTTAGTATACAATTTTCTTTCTTTTCTTTTTTTTTGTTATTAGTATTTTTTTTGTAATTAAGAACTACAAGAAGAAGAAGAAGAAGAAGAAGAAGAGCACAAACTAAAAAGCATTTCATGAGATTCTTTACAAATGACAATTTTGACAAAAAAGTTTGATATTCGAGTAAATATGCTTAAGCCAATAAATATTTGCTCTTGAGCTGCATAAAAACGAAATTTTTTTTTATAAATGTAAAATATTAAATTTATAGCTATTGATATATTATTTTAATTAAATTATTATTTTTTATTTTCTTAAAATTTGATTTTTATTAATAAATTAATTATTTTATTGCATTTTTTGTTTATTTTTACTTTTAGTATAATATTTACTTGGTTTTATTTTTAATTTTTTTTGTATTAATTTTTTCATTTCGTTTTTATGCAGTCAAGAAATTTGTTTTTCAAGTTTGAAAGCCAATGGAAATTATATGAAAATATATAAAACAAATTTGCGAGTTTCGCTAGCTCTCTCTCTTTCTCTTTTCTTTGTGGCACAAACGTGAGCAGCTACATATGTTTTGGTATTGTTGTTGCACTTTGTTTCTTTTTGCATCTTTCAGATAGACAAATTGATTTTTAGCTTTGGGGTGCTTCGCTACGTTTGTGCTTAGTCGTTGCCACTAATTTTAAGCATAACTATAATAGATAGTTTTTTTGTTTTTGTTTTTGGTTTGTTCACCTAGTGGACTTCCGCGTGCGCCGTAATCCCTTGATGGTGATCGATCGACCGTTGGCAATTCCTGCAGTCGACGCACGCGACCCGGACTGCGAACACCAGAGCTATTCACTGGATTATAATCGTCGCGTGACATAATCCGCGGCTGATCCGCGGCATGCACCCACGCAGTTGTTGTTGTGGTTGTTGCTATTGTTGTTGTTGTTGTTGTTGTTGTGGTTGTAGTAGTTGTTGTTGTTGTTGTCCTGTTGTCCTGTTAAATGCTTCGTTTGATTGGTTTTATTTGGTTTTTGTCGTTTGATATGCACGTTTTGATTGGCTTTTTGTTTGTTTTATATTAATTTGTTTTCTTTTTTTTTTGGTTTCTATGTTAAATTCTTTCAATTGGCTGCATCTGCAAGTGTAAAAAGTGAAAGAGAACAAATATGGTACAAAATAAAGATAGGAACAGAGAGAGAACATACACACACACACACACACTTACACAGCTCATACATATCATACACATATTAAGCATACGCCTCCTCTGGCCATACATTTATTACGCATACGCCCCGGGCTGCGCCTTGACTCAACTTTAAGCTTTTAGCATTAAGCGTGTTTCTTTTTGCATTTAAATTAGACTACATCAACTAGCATATCCTTAACCTTTTTACCTAAATCTCAGCCTCTCTAAGCGAGAGAGCGAGAGAGACAGAAAGGAGGAGAGAAATGTCGAGTGGCTTTTGCATTATGGCAGCTCCTGTTTGCTTTCTATGCAATTTTTTTTTTCTTGTGTTTTCTATTTAGACAAAAACAAATTGCATGCAAATTGCCACTCGACCAAGTCGCTGCCAAGAGGAGTCGCACTCAGCTGTATGTGCACACACCCACATATACACGTGCACACTCACCTGCACAGGGATAGAGCTACATATGAATGACAACGAGGGTGGCTTAAGTAAATCATTTTTTGTTCTTCTCCAAGGATATAAAGCTCACTTGTCAAAGGTTGAGTGGTATCTGAACTATATGGAAACATATTGTGTATATTTAGGTTCCTATAATTCCCATATTAATTGCCTATAAGAAGCAGGCTTGACTAAGGCAGGGTTCTATTGAAAGTAGAGTAAAAATCAAGGAAATAGAATATTTCATGTTTATAAAATACAAGAAGTTGGGTTGAAGTAGTTCAATACAAGCATATTGGATTCATTTGGATAAGGGAACTCAATCAATCGCGTAGGCACATATTTTATATCTTTAGGTATAGAGCGGTCTAATTGGATTACATAGCCTTTTATATATTTTTAAATATTATAGATCTTTATAAAACTTGGCTATGTATATAGATTTAATATAGATTGAATTTCTAATCGATTCCATTTTCAGATCTAGTTAGGGTAGAAAATATAAATAGTTAAATATGGTTCTAGATATATCATTGATATAGCTCTTATTATTTAGTCTACATTACAGTAGATCAGTACAGTAGCTAAGCTGTGCTAGTAAGGATGAACTAATTTTAATTACTTTTACATCTCAATTATTTACAATAAGTTCTTAAAGAGCCCTCGCTAGCCACAAGATAGTCTACATTGCATTGAAGGCAGAAGACGAGTTGCACGTTTCTGCCAGGCTCAAATACGGAAGGGCTCAAAAATGAAGTGCAGACGCGCACAGGCAGCGTCGCTTTATGAATGGGCTAAGGCAATGGCTCAAAAAGAAACCAGTGGAAATAGACCGAAGGGGGTGCTGAGGGGTTTGGTTCGGTTGTAATGGCGACAGCGGCTAAATAAAAGCTAAACGAATCAGCAGACCGGAAGACCATTCAAATGTTTACTTGCATGCCTGAGCAAATGCAGCAAAAGTGTGAGTGTGTGTGTGTGTGTGAGTGAGTGTGTGTATGTGTGTCGCCTGAGTGCCCATTTACGTGACAGCAGCAATAGCAACAACAGCGTGCCGCATGCCCCACAGCAGCTATCAAGATGAGGTCATAGCTATAGCTGGACCTCGTCTTCGATTACACATCTGCTCAGCATGGCTCAGCACTTTGCTAGGCAAACAAGGCGCACAGCTACGGCTATCGATATCTATATCTGTTTACCTATATACGTATCTATATCAATATCTATCTGCAGTTGCATTTGCATCTGTTTAGCTATGCAGCTCTTGGGCTCTACATTTTTGCTGTTGCCTACTTTCAGGCGCTCGATGCTCTTCCTTCTCATTCACTTCCGGCTGGCATTTGCTGCAATTGCAATTGTTGGTGTCTCGGCTCGCGGCTATTACGGTCGACACCAGCTAGGTGTTATCAGCACTCTGAGCTTGTGAGTTATCGCTGCGTGGGGCATGCAGCCCCACAGCACCTCACGCCCCTTTGCCTAAACATGCTGAAGCTGAGTGTGGGCTCGCAGCTTGCAGCTTCGTCTTGGCTTATTCACCACACTCGCTTGCGCAGCTGCGGCGCTCAGCAAGAGACGTGAACGAACACACACACACAAACACACACACAAACACACACACATACATGTGACGATTCAACAATAGCGTCATCGTAAAACATTTGCCGCATTTGGCGGCGTTTCTTTAGCTTTCTTACGTTGCGTTTCTTTACTTTTTTTTTGTGGCCTATGCTGCCAGACACCCATACACGCACGCACACACACACACATACACACACGTTCGCAGCCACATAAAATAAGGTTAAAATTTGAAATCAATAAAAATTATTCCACCCGTCTAAAATTAGAACAGAAAGCCTAAGACAAAAGCCAAGCAGCAAATGACGATATGACGACTTGTAACTAAAACCAAAGCAATGCCAAGCAGTCCTACACACACACACACACACACACACACACGTGGCTAACCCATAAACCCTCGCTTAAGCATTAAAACAAACACGCAGCCTTGCGAGTAGGCGTGGCTGTAGGCAATCTCTGAATGTATATAAAAAAAAGTCGAAATACTTTATTATATATGCGCTGTCAATGTGCTGTCTGCGTGTCAATGTGTGCGTGTGTGTGTGTATGTGTGTGTCTATACTCGCATGACAATCCATGTGCCGCTGCAGGCACTTTGATAACCTAGGGCAGTTCGAGTTTTTGGGGGGGCAGAATACTTGAAAATTGCTTTTCGTGTGAAATAAAAATAAATACAAAAATTCAAATTAAAATCAAAATAAATTGAATCGAAGGGGCGAACTTTGACAGCTAATCTAAATATGAGCCTAAGGATACAATCATATATAGATATATATACGTGTCTGTCTATCAAATAAATACAGTTTACGGGGCGTATGCGTAATTTTACTATGAACTACTTAAGACTAAGACCGATTAGCTTAATTCTAAACACAACAAACATTAAAAAACTATGCAAATTTATTAAATTTTTGTTAAAATTAAGTTATTTATATATATATAAGACACAGACATACGAGACATACGAGTTATACGAGCTATACGAGTTATACGAGACAAGCAGAAATTAGTTAGTTGATCTTAGGGAACTTTTTTTTTGTTTTACTCAAGACAATCGCAGAAAATCAATAGAGCTTACAATGCATACGTGTGTGTGTGTGCGTGTGTGTATGTGTGTCTGTGTGTGTTTTGTCTTGATCATAAATTTCTTATAGATATAGTTGTAGATGTGTTAGAGCTGCTCACCCGCTTTGCTTAGACGATGAATTTTGAATGCTTTGAAGGTTCCACGCGGCGTATGAAATTATTTTTGATATAGTTTTCTTTAGCTATATATGTGCTGCAGCTCCAGCGTTCGCTCTAGTTCCAGCTCCAGTTCCAGCTCCAGTTCCAGCTCCAATTCCAGTTCCAGCTCCAATTTCGACTTGAGCCTTAGCTGCTGCTGCCGCTGCCGCTGCTGCTGCCTTTAGCTCAACAATTTGTTTCTACTAGCAAATTTATGCTTAACACACACATACATTGCCTATGTGTGTGTGTGTGTGTGCGTGTGTATGTAGGCTTTCTGCGGTTGCTGCTTCTGTTGGTGTGGTTGTAGTTGTTGTTGTTGCATTTCCGTTTATGCTAAATTTCAATTTCAAAATTTTGCTTTCACTCAAATTTTTTTTGTCACTTTCAATTTGTTTTCTAAATTTGTTGCAGTTATTTATTTTTGCTTGACTAATTGCATTTTGTTGTAAGCCGCTTGTTGGTTAATGCATATATATTATTAATATTATTATTTTTTATGTATGTACATGGCTGTTGGATTGGAGTAAAAAAACGCACGCAAACCGCACTTGAGTTAAGCTGTTGAACTTTTGGATTTCATTTAAATAAAAATATATACGTTTTTTTTTTTTCTTTATGCACAGTTAATTAAAGCACTTTAATATGCATATATATCCATTCTTATATACATATATATATGTATATGTATATATTTTTTTATTTAATTTTTATGCTTGCATTGTTGCTTGAGTGCTGCGTGCTCAACGAGTGATTTGTAAGGGCTGTGCGAAGTTTTTTTGAAGTTGGTTGGAGCACTGCTATGTGGGCTCTCTCTTTCTCTCTCTCTCTCTCTCTCTGTCATTCACACAATAAGTGACTACTCTCTCGCTCTCTCTCAGCTACTGACACACATTTGCGCCCACACACAGACACACACACACACACACGCATACACGCAGAGGCCGAAGCGGCGAGCGCGTGAGAGTGGGAGTTGTGCGCTTTACGGAGTTGCCGGAGTGTGTGCGCGCGCTACGTTGTAACGTAAGCGTCTACGTAACGTTAGCGTAACGAACCGAACGAACCACTAAACGAAGCTAACGACATAAGGGCTACCAGAACCCTAGGCCCTCGCCTCCCCCGTCCTTTCCTTTGCTGACTCCCGTCCCCACGCGCTCTACGCTAGCTACATTATGTTACACGCCCCCGCGCGCCTATCCCCAACTTCACGGTGTGTGTGTGTGTGTGTGTGTGTGTGAGAGCGTGTGTCTACTGTTATACAGCTTATAGCTGTGCGTATGTGTGTGTGTGTGTATGCTTTATATGTAGGTTGAAGCAATTTATAATAAATTTTTCCTTCTCTTCTTCCATCAATCGATATGCGTTTAACATGGCCAATATAATATATTGGTTATAGCTGCGCCTATAAAACTGACTATTGTTTCTTGGTGTTTGATTTGATGTTTGATTCCAGTTCGATGTCTGCTTGATGTAAGTTTAAAGCATCGGGATTTGCTTGGTTTTATCATTTCTTTTCGCACAATTTTTGCAGGAAATCAGTTTTCTGTATCCAGGGTGCAGTTGCGGCCTAAAGCACAATTGCTACTATACACGCACGCTTACACTCACGCACACATATCAGCCTACACATATACACATTTAATTTTTTGTGATATTTTTATAATAATTTTTTCGCGTTATTTTTTTTTTTTTGCACAAAATCACACGAAGATTTTTTTTGTTTAGCCTTTTTTGGCATCGAGTTAGCTTTTTTTTAGTTTTTTATTTGTATTGCTGCTAAAAGATACTTTTACAGATACACACACACATACATGTGCGTGTATGTGTCTCTGTGTGTGTGTGTGTGTATAATCTAACCCAAAAAATTGTGTTGTGCGGCAGCTTGTAGGGCCCGTTTTTCACATATGTATATATGTATGTATATATATATATATGTATGTATATGTAATTTATTTTTTGGTATTTTGTTTTTTCGGCAACGCCGTTGTCCAACTAACAACTACCCTCAATGTACTGAGCGCTGTTCGCTCGTGTCAGTCGCTGTTATAGTCGACACATATAAGCCATAGCCAAAAACGTAAACGTAGTCGTAGTCGTAGTCGTATTCGTCCGTTTCGCTCCGAGGTGAGTTTCCTAGTACTGCTGTTGTTGTTGTTGTTGTTGTTGTTGTTGCTGGCAACTATAGTGAAGAGCAGATTCGGCATTTGTGTTCGCTCGGCATTTCCTGATTGCAATCAATGAATTTTTATCGCGCTCGCGCAGTTTTCCCTTAGTCTCTCACCACTCACTCTTGCTCTCTTACAGTCCATCTCTCCTCTCTCTTTCTCTATTGCTCTCACATTCTCTCTTGGTTAATTGTCTTTGCGTTTTGTATTGTGCGGCTAAATGAAAATTCCAATAGTAAAGTATGAAATTCCTTTACAACGGCGTCCGTTACGTTTTCGCCTGCTGACCTTACGTCTGTGTGAGTGTGTGCGTGCTGTAACACTAATACGTAACGGCATTTGAATTGTTACGTTTCGTTTGCATGCGTTTTCTTTAGGCTGGCAATGCTTTGAATTAAAACTAACAGCCTAAAAGTATGCTATGATTTTCTTGAACTATTTTAACACGGAGCCGCTGCTTGAAATTTTAATATGGGGAAGATATATGTATATAAATATATAAAGTATTTTAAAATATATTTTTTCGTTTTTAGAAATTTATTAAATTGTTAAAATAAATATTTTTAAATTAATTTTTATTACATTGAGTTTTTTTTAAATAAATTTCGTCATTTGTAATTGCAAAGTTATTATCATGAAATGAAGTAAACTTCATATATTAAATACTTACTATTTGCCTTATATTTATATAATAATATACATAAATAAAAATTATTTAAACACTCAACTTTTTAACAACTATTTATTTGTGTTTGAGTGAGACTTACAGTTAGAGTGTGTTTGTGTGTGTGTCTGTAATACATGAAATTTCGCATAATACTAGAAACATTAGAATCATTAAGAACTATTCGTAACTAAGTAATACTAGAAACATTTGCATCTTTTACTGGCTTAGCTGTCTGTCTGTCTGTTCATTGCGGACAAACTATATTTTCTATTTACATGTGAACTCTTCGTAACTCTCGTCGCACACCTCGCACTCCACTTGACAGCACCAATGGAACTGGCATCTGCATTGCTGACTTCGCTGTATGTGCTGTGTATTGTGGCCACGCCCACAGCACAAAAGATCACAGCTCTGTGGGCCATGACCGGTGCGATTGCAAATGCGACCCATTGTGCCCAGCGTGCCCGTTTGAATGCTGCGCTCACAATAATTGGGCGATGCCTCCAAATAGATCAGCTCCATGCGTTTGGGCACCATCAGTGAGACCTTCTGCGCCATCTGATGCTTCTTTCTGTGAGAGAGTTGTAATGATGAGAGATGAGATGAGAGAGTTTACTAAGAGAATTATTCTTCTCTACGCACCTGCTTAATACTAATCTCAGTCCACGTTTGCCTCTCAGGGCCTGCACAGTTTTGGCTTTTTGATATTTTTGCATTAGCTTGTCACCAATCAGGCGAAAGGGCGGCAGGCTTTTCCAGCAGGTTTTCATGACACACGAGCCGCTGACGCCATGGCACTTGCAATCTGTACGCAGCAGCTTCTTAACTAGCTGATAGAGCAGGTGGAGGTGTATATGAAAAATGATTATTAAATATTTATATTCGAAATATTATGCATACGCACCGTGCGCCCCACGCGATTATTATGCAAATTCATGAGCGTACGCGAATCTCGCTCCAATTCACGTGCGTCCATAAATTTGCGCGTATAACGCATACCGAATTCCACATCGGCCGAACAGCCGCCCCACTTCCAGGGCTCCGGCGGCGGCGATGTCTTGTGCCGCACATCGCAACCGCAGAGCGAAATGTTGCCTCGCGCGCAGGCTGCAGTCACTGCATAGGCAGCACCAGCGCTGGCTATTGCATAGGTGTAAGCGGCCTCCCTAGAAGCTAGAAGAGAGAGAGAGACAGATGAAGGAGAGATAATGAGAAGTTAGGAGTATATTAATAATAGAGAGTATGTCATAAAGGGGACATATATCAAAAATAGTTTGCATAGAGTATACAGGAATAGTTATATAGGCATAGAAGAAAGAGAGCGATGATGCAGAGAGAGAGAGAGAGAGAGAGAGGAGTTAGGAATATATTAATAATAGAGAGTAGTCTAGTGCTGCATATCTTTCAACTGCATATCTTTCAACTGCTCTTTCTCTCTCTCTCTCTCTCTCTCTCTCTCTCTCTCTCTCTCTCTCTCTCTCTCTCTCCCTCTCTCCCTCTCTCCCTCTCTCCCTCTCTCTTTCTGTCTACTCACCTATTGGCACAACATGTGAGAACACATTGCGTTGCCACACCTCCGAGCAATTCCAGCGATGGCCACGAAACTGATGCTGACACTCGTGGGCGCCGAGCTGCTGACCCTCACCTAGTGCGATCAGTGCATCGGGCATCTCGCTGCATAGCTGACGTTGGCCCATCGTCAGACCGGGTATACGGCCGCAGAGCATGACAGACGTAAAGCTGGATACTAATCTGACGAGAAAGCAGAATGAAAATTCATATATTAATGATAGTCTTCATATATGATGAATATCCTGTTAATGATAGATACAATATGTATATTTCTCCTTTGCTAACCTCGTCTATGTCTAGTACTTCCTATAACAACTGCAAGAGAAATTCCTGAGCTCGCATAGCTGGCAATTTGCAAGTCATTTATTGGGCACTCCATTAATCCAATTGGGCATTAAGTATGGAAAGCTAGTTGCTTATTATCGTGGATTATGTCAGCAGCTCTGGGCAGAGCTGTCTGGCATTTAAAGCCTTCGATTAGACATGCGAGGCTTTTGATTTGGTCTGGCTTAAGCTTCTCTACTCATGATTAGACGCTTGAGATGCATATGTAATTATGGCTAATAATATAGCTGGCGGCATTATTTTGACTAAAACTGACAGTAAAACTGTCTACGCCCCCTAAAAGCATGCCACTCACTCACCTGACTGCAAAAAAAAAAAAAGCAAAACAAAAACAAAACAAAAACCAACAACAAAACAACAACTACAATAGCAACAACAGCAGCAACAACAACAGCTTCAATTTGAACGCATTAATCTTGCCTTTGAATGCGGCACATTTGCTTTTTCCATTGGCCAATTGCGACTTTTTTTTTAAACGTTGACTCGTGGCCAGTTCTCAATTGTTGTTGCTGTTGTTGTTGCTATTTTCCTGGCAATGGCAAACTGAAATGGAAATGAATTGATCGCTGGCGGCATTTATTGAGCAGTAAGCACGACTTTTGTTTTTTCATTCATACTATTGAACAAAACAGTTAGATGTAGTAGGGTATCATGATTTAGTGACAATGTATACAACAGATGAGACCACGCCGATATTTTTGAGAGTAGATATATATCTGTCTCTCTATGGATGTTTATTGGGCTGTCTCTTACTCCCTATGTCCCTTAGTTCTTGTGTCCATCCATCTGTATCCATCTGTTACGCTAGATACTCTGTTTTTCCGCTTTACCTAGTTCCCTTCTACCTAAATTAAATCCTTCTAGTCTCATCAATTTTGGTATTTTTGTAGTTCTCTGCAAAGTTCAGGGTATTTGCTAGTCGTGCACTTCCAGCACTCTTACTCGTTTCATTATTCCTTTAGCCATCGATCGATTCACATTTGTTTGTGCACTTATTTTGTCATTTTGCCATATTTAATTTATTGTTTACTTAATACGATGGCGTTACTGTTGTTGTTGTTGTTGTGGTTGTTGCTGTTGCAATATTTGCTGCTGGTGCAGCATTCAGCAAATAGTCGAGTAGCATTTGAAAAATGTTTATGAAAGATCAAATTATGCACTGCAATGCATTTTATTGATGGCGGGATGAAAAATGAATGAATCTAATTGTATTACTATATATGTATTTATATAATTTAAAACATACATATTATTTAGAAGGTATGATAAAGCTAAAGTTTTTAAATTTTAAAATTCAAAAAGAAAACCCAAGAAAAATAATATGAGCTTAGCTCACTCAACCAGTAGATATATATCTAACTTATATTTTAAATCTCTGATTATAATTATATGTAATTTCATTGAAGTTGACTTGACCATCTAATAACTGTCTTTAACAAAAACTTTACAGCTATTTTTTGAAGCTTGTTTTCTAAAGACTAAGCAAGTCATAGGCAATAAACGCTCTTGGAGTCGTAGGAAGAGCATTTGTGAATGGCAGCAGTGTAGCTCGTATAGCCACTTCCCACACACACACACATAGACACACATTATCACACTCTCAGATACAATATAGTAGCATTCCATAGCCGCATTCATTGGATGCATAACGAGCAATTGTCTACATGTCGATTGGCCAACACACAAAAAAGCCAATCAGACAGCTGCGCAGGCGCCCAAAACATGAACAGCTATGCATATTCATTACATACATACATATATGTATGTGTATATATATGGAGGTACACAGCAGTGTAATATCCTCAGGGCAGGGACACGCTGTTGTCAGTTCGATTCGATTTCTGTCTTGTCAATGGGCTGCAACAGTTTTGGCCATTGCTTTCGCCCATGTTTACAATGTACTTTTAATTGGGCCAATTAAATCAATTTACAGAAATTACAAACTTTACAGAAGAGGCAGAGGGGGAGGGGGTAGAAAGTGTAGACAGAGTGAACAAAGTGGATCCAGGTCCTCGCCCAAATTAACCCTTCAACTGGCAACGGAAAACTGGAAACGGACAACAACAACAACAACAACAATTGACGATCGTTTTGTGTTCAATCTGCAGTAATGTACCCTGTAAAGGGTTCAATGAAGTTATATAAGTGTGTAGGAGTACAAAGATCTTCTTAGATCTTTGTGTATCCCCTAACTGTTACAGGAGCCATGGCTAAATATGTATCTGGCATGCTCTTAAAAGTTCAACGTTTTCTTCCTTCTTCACACTAATGCATAACACTTACAACTACATCTACAGGGTATCCCCTTGGCTAGCATCCATCATTGCAACACTCTTGCTCATTGCTGTTGTTGTTGTTGCTGTTGATGCTCATGAGTTGTTGTACATGTTGTTAACATGCAGCCGAGGCCCCGAAGACCAAAATTGGTAGTAAACTAATAATTAGGCTCGTTTAACAGGCACGACCACGCGGCGAGCTTGCCAGGATGCGATCACCAGATCGAACAACAACAACAGCAACAACAACGACAACGAAGAACTGAAGCAACAGCAACAACAATGAGCCACTGGCTGTTGTGTGGCTGCAATGCTTCAGTGGCCGCATCACTGAACCACCACTGAACCACCAAAACCACCGTTGCCAACCTTCAACTTTAACTTTGTGTTAAACTACGTTGATCGATCTGTCAGCGCATCCGTTTGTCAGTCAGTCAATAGCTTTTCGTGCGTTCGCACAGCGTGACCGTCATGCCCACCTCAGTAACAACAACAACAGCAACAACAACAACAAATGGGCAACAGCTATCGCTCTCTTTTCATCGTGGCCTTTTGTTCTTATTTTCATATACCCTGAACCTATGGGAAATGTGTAAAAAGGGTATATGGCGTTTGTTGATGTAAGGCTGGTGTTCTATATGGTATATATACTTCTGATAAATATGAGTATATATAGGGGAATATTTTTGAGTATCAGAAAAGCAACTCCAAAGTCTTCGATCTAATGTTGCTGCATCGTTGAAAACTTTTTACATTTCCACCATATTTTTTGCTCCTTCACCCTTCAATATTGTATATTTAGGGTATCTTCTAGTCGAGCAGTGCCGCCTAGACAGCACTCTTACTCGATTTTTTTTTCTCTGCAGCTTGTTCAGTTTTGTTCCACAAACGCTGTTTTTTTCCGCCGTGCCTTATTTAATTTGTCGTTGCGACTTGAAGCGCGTTGCTGCCCCATTCCATGTGGCTCCATTCCGTGTTGCCAGCTGCCTGTAGCCTGCTGCCTGTTGCATGTCAGCGTCGACAATTTCATCATCAACTTCAGCCGAACCCATCCTCCGAGCCTCTGCATCACTTACGCAGCGTCAACCGACGTCCGAGTCACGTGTACTTGATTTGTGCTTTGTGTTTTGCACCGCTTTTGCTTTTTGTGTTTTGTTTTTTGCTTCATGTTTTTGTTTTAGATGGCCTACCTTACCTTGCCCTAACCTTAGCTACGCGGCTCTTCCTGCTGCTGTTGGTCTCTTTTATCTTCGGCTCTAGATCGAGGCACAGGCTTTGCGCTTGGGTCTACGCCTTCATTTCGTGACCCTTTATTTCTCTGGTTGTTTTTTTTCTCTGTGTTTTTTTTTTTGCTTTGTTGCGACGATTTAGATTCTTGTTCCCAGCTCAACTTGTGATGCGTGAGAGAGCAAGGACCTGTCATGAACTTGATATCAATGATATTGCACCAGGGTTGCCAGGGTTGTGCGGAGGCTCAATTATAAACAACTCAATTAATTAATGCAAGTTGGAGTCAGGCATTGCATTGCTGGCTCAATGTAAGCCAATTTATCATTATTGCTATAAATATTAGTCAAATAAACATTGGGAAATATATTATCCTTAACATTAATGTTGTCATTGATACTCATTATCATTATCATATGATTATTACGTCTATTGTCATTGCCATTATACGTTTTATCATTAGCATTGTCATTACTCATCACTCTTATGATAAAGTATTAATTTGAGTCTTATTTTTGGATGCTTTCCGATATTTCGAGATCTTAATAATTTGCATACATTAATTGAATCTTGATAATGCTTAAAAATACTTTGCTGAGTGCCAAACTTTTATGGTGTATATCTAGAGATCATCATCGACTGTGATATATTGAGCGTATAATTTTATAAGAGAAAATCTTGTTTAATATATCACATTTGATACTTTTTCCATATTTGTTCAATACCATAAATCATGATGGCACAGACTATGAATGATGTCAATGCTGGTTGCCAAATAACTTGTTTAATATATTAGTTAAACAAATAAATAAATACAAATGTCAGAAAAACAATGAAGCAATGCAAATCACCATATTCATATATCGAAAATAAAAAGCGTAGTTCCAGTTTTACGTCTCGCTTTTCCAGTAGCTGACTTCCGCCTCTGCGTTAACCATGCAGTTAATAATTATTATTGATATTTCTTTTTTATTGTCTTCATTACTTTTCGCATTGATGGCATTTACGAAAAAGATAGAAACTCGTTTATATATGTATGTATATATACATATATATTTTTTGGGCCATCGATAAACCATTGGCCAATCACTGAAATGAGTCGAATATGTGATTTGCTGCATTCGCGGGGCAGCTATCATTAAAAATGGATTAGGCCAGTCGCATAATTTAGCCACAGCGCCAATTAGCAAACGGCAACAACAACAACTGCAACTGGAGCTCGAGCTGGAGTTGAAGTTGATGCTGGAAGCTGACTCTTAAAGCCTAACCACTTATATCTCGTCTCCCGAGCATATAAACATAAATGCCTAAGCGCGCACAGCGAGTCAATAAGAAACCAAAAAACAGCAGCAACAACGACAACAACAACAACAACAGCAAAAACAACTCTTAATGCGCACTTCGGAGGCTCATAAAAATATGACTTTAATATTTTCACGCGCAGGCGTTGCAGAGCAGACCACAGCGCAGAGCGCAGACAAATGCGCGTAACTGGGCCTGCAAACTGGAAGAACTATGGGCAGGCGCAGGAGCAGCGCAACGCATGATACCAAAAAGGGCAGCCAGCCATACACTGAGAGAATATTGGAGGCATTTCATTATGTGAAGAATTGAAGATGCCCAGAAATTCGATTGAATGAATTTTATATCCTTTTAAGCTGTGGAATTATGGAATGCTTATCATATGGAGAGCATAATATCAGAAAGCCTAATACGTATCTTCTGACCATTCATGCATTCTCCTTGAACCTACTTTGAGGACCCATAAACTTCTTTCATGTGCATATTTAGCGTCTAGGCCTAAGCGACCCACCGCTGTGCCAATTGCCTTATCTTGACTACGGCGGTGGGTTTTGTTTTTGTCTCTAGTAGCTGCCGCCTCTCAGCATTAAAGGAGGCCTCAAATTATGTGTGCAATGCCAACATATATCATCTGGATGTAGATCTGTATCTGTATCTGTATCTGTATCTGTATCTGTATCTGTATCTGTATCTGTAT